ATGGGAATCCTTTGAAGTACCATTCTTTTACATGTCATTTCAAAGCATGGTTGCGAATATCCCAAATGACAGTATTAAGTTGAATAACCTAATCTCTTCATGTAACGGTAATGCAAGGAATGCCATTGAGTTCTGTGTTATGAAGCCTCCTGGGGAAGGATATGCAGCTGCTCTGTGCACACTGAGATCAAGATTTGGTAGTAATGTGCTTGTTAGCCAGGCCTGGATCAGCAAGGTCATAGATAGGGAAAGCGTAAGCATAACTAACTTGGGCGGATATGCTGCCGACTTGGAGAACTGTCTGCAATCACTGTAAGCTTTAGGCTATTTGAATGAGCTCGATAACCAGGCCAGTCTGAGGCAGATTGTGTCTAAGTTTCCTAAGTTTCTTCAAAATGGATGGAGAAAAGAAAATCCAAGGATTAAAGAAAGAGGTGGCGAGTCTTCAGCAAATCTGGCAGCCAAAGCTTCAGTGCATGTTGCTAGGGAAGATTCCGGGCGAGTTGCCAGACTGGCTGATTTAGTTAGATTCATCAAGTGGGCTACTAATGAGGTTGAAGATCCAGTCTTTGGGGATGTCGGTGTCAGTAAGCCCTCTGAGAGAGCGAGGTCAAGTAAACCATCTGAGAGAATGAGACCAAGTAGACAATATGATAAGATGCTTGTAAATCAGGCTTCATTTGTGCAAGGTGTATCGAGGCCTCAAATATGTTGGGTTTGCAAGAACAATCAGCACTGGACGGACCAGTGCACTATGTTCGAGAATGCCTCGCAGACTGAAAGGAGAAAGATGTGCTACGACAACTATGCATGTTACTCTTGTCTAAAGGTAGCTGGGCGAGGGCACAGGGAGTCCACCTGCTCTAAAAGGAAAGTTTGTGGTGAAACAACAGCTAACGGGGCATGTAAGGAATTCCACCACAAGCTCCTACACGTGAGGAAGAAGGTTGGACAAATAGGGACTCTCAACATGGCGATGAATAAGGATCCTATGTTGAGCATCTTGGATGTGGAGGTGTTAACGAAAGGTGTCCAGCGTCTTGCTTAATAAAGGTTCCCAGGAAACTCTGATCAGTAAAGATTTTGCAAAGAAGCTAAACTTGAAAGGCAAAGCGGTAGCTACAGTTATAACAAAGGTTGGTGGAATTAAAGAAGAGTTTCAATCAACACTATGAGCTAACGCTGCGAGGTGAAGACAGCATGACTCACCGCATTTCAGCTTTAGAAATGGGACACATCAACGATGTAAGAGAGGTTGACGTAAAGCAAATGGAGTAATTATTCAAGATGAAGCCAGGCACCCTGAAAAGAAGAGGTGGACCAATAGATATTCTGATTGGTGTTAACTATGCACATTTGCTCGTAGGTGAAGAATCTGAATCGAACGGTATTGTTGCCCAGAGAACTCGTCTAGGATGGACAGTGTATGGAGGGGAAGAGGCCACGGCAGCTAATCAGGTTATGCATGTGCAGATCAAGAAGCCAGCCGACCTGGATTACTTTTAGGCCACTGAAGCACTAGGGGTGGACATAGGACCTTGCGACTGCAAGTCCCTGGAAAGGGCCACTGAGAAGCTGGAAGGCAAAATCATTAAGGAGTCTTGTACCAAAGTCGGTAATCAATAGATGGTTCCCTACCCTTGGGCCAAGGATCCGTGTGATCTGGAGGATAACCGGTATCAGGCTAAGAAGATGCTAGTTGGACTAGAGAAGAGGCTGCTAAGAAGCAAAGGGCATGCAGAGGCTTATGACAAGCAGATACAAGAAATGGCAGAGATGGGATTTACGTGCAAGTTGACGCCAGAAGAGGTCGAGAGCTATCAAGGTCCTGTTCACTATATTCCTCACTATTCAGTTGCAAAAAAGGATAGCTCCAGTATGCCCTTAAAAATTGTCTTTAATGCATCTAACAGATACAATGGCAAATGCATTAATAATTGCTGGATGAAGAGACCAGATTTGTTGTACAGCTTATTTGGTGTCATTTAGGTGTTATTTGGTTTAGGGGGAACCAGGTAGCATTGGTTGGCGATATCTCCAAGATGTATCACAGGATATTGATACCTACGATCGAATATTGATAACGATCGATCAGCATGTGCATAGATATTTGTGGAGAGATCTAGATGTCGACAGAGAACCAGATGTGTACGTCAAGCAGGTGTTGTCGTTTGGGGATAAACCTGCTGGAACCATGGCGATCACTGCACTGAGACTGACAGCGGATAAAGGTCGAGAGGAATACCCGCGAGCTGCGGAGGTGATAAAGACCAACACTTACATGGATGACATGTGCCCATCTGTCAAGTCGGAAGCAAAAGCAACACTGACGCAAGAGGTTGATAGACTGCTAGCCTTAGGTGGGTCTGCGGTCAAAACGTGGTCCTCGAATAGTTGCTAAGCCTGAAGGTACGAAGTGTGAAGTAGTTGATAAGTTAAAGTTGCAAGACCTGAGGTGGTTGGTAAGCAGATGGTTGAAGTAGGACATAGTTTGGAACAGAGGGTGTTAGGTGTTTGTTGGAACCCGAGTGATGACACTTTCATGTTTAAGGTTGAAATAGACATCGATAAGTTCACTAAGCGTAAGGTTCTGGGAGTAATGGCCAAGGTATTTGATCTAGTTGGACTGGTTGGCCCAGTGATCATCAATAAAAAGATTAACATGCAAGAGCTGTGGTTAGCAAGAGTCGATTGGGATGAACCATTAAGTGAAGAGGCTAAAGAAGAATGGAAGAAAATATTTGAGAAATTCAAGAGGCTAGAGCAGTTCAAGTTTCTCAGATGTCTGACTCCACCGGCAGCAGTCAGTGAAGTTTGCTTGGTGTTTTGCGATGCATCGGAGAAGCCATTCGGGGCATGTGCTTATGTTAGGTGGTTAGTAGAAGAGGGAGTCTACGAATTTCGATTAGTGGCTTCTAAGTCTAGGGTTGCTCCTCTCAAGATATTAACCATACCGAGGCTTGAACTGCAGGCGGCTGTCATTGCGGCAAGACTGGCAGAGACAATTGTGCAAGAGTCTACCTTTGAATTCAAGGGCTTGTATTTCTTCTCTGACAGCATGATCGTGTTGAGTTGGCTCAAGAAACCTCCTGGATGGTTCGTCATTTGTGTCGGTCATGGTGGCCGAGATTCAAGGCCAAACAGGAGGAGCAAGTAGGAGGCATGTCACAGGCACTGACAACCCGGCTGATGACCTATCTAGGGGTATAAATGCTCAAGGGTTGGAGAAGAGATGGATGTCAGGTCCAGAGTTTCTTACCAAGCCAGAGGGAGAATGGCCTCAACGGTTTGAAGACCAGGGTTGTGATGATGATGAAGAAGCAAAGGCAATCTTCACTGGTAGTGTAAATGTTCAGCAAGATGTAGATATTGGTATCGACGATATCCAGAGCTGGGAGGAGTTGCTAGAGGCTTATAAAAGGCAGATCAATAATGGAAGCGTATTAGAGGTTGCAGATATTCAGAATCTAGAGGCGGAGATGCTCAGAAGGGTCCAGAAGGAAAGCTTCCCTGAGGAGTTCAGGTTACTTGAAAATGGGAAGACCGTGGCCGGAAGCAGTAAACTGAGCAATTTAGCTCCTGAGTTTGACAAAGAGATGCGATTGATCCGAGTTGGTGGGCGTTTAAGAAAGGCTCAAGGTATTGAGGGTGTTGACGTTCATCCTATTGTGTTAGATCCTGGCCATCATATATCAAAGTTGTTGATAAAGCGGATTGATAGCGATGTTTTCAACCATAGCGCAGGCTGCCAAAGGGTTTTTGCATACATCAGAAGATATTGGATCCTGAAGGGCTTGAGTAAAGGCTGTCATGTCCGGAGTGTCGGCGATGGCGAGGAGAGTCAGAAGTACCCAGGATGGCTGATCTCCCTGAAGCAAGGTTGAGAGTAGGCTTGTCACCGTTTTATAGTACAGGCATGGACTGCTGGGGTCCGATGATGGTTAAAGTAAGGAGGTCAAGAGAGAAGAGGTGGGGCGTAATCTTCAAATGCATGACGACGAAGGCTTTGCATTTGGAGTTGTTGGACAGTATGTCTAGCGACGCATTCCTGATGGCTTTCAGGAGATTTGTTGCTAGGAAGGGGATGCCTAAGGAGTTGTGGTCTGACTGTGGGACAAGTTTTGTAGGGGCAGAATCTGAGTTATCGGAGTGTTTTGGGCTGATGAGCACAGAGCTTCAAGGGAAGTTGGCAAGGCAGCAGGTGGAATTTAAGTTCATTCCACCAGGTGCTCCACACTTCGGAGGCCTCTGGGAGAGAGAAGTCAATTCGGTCAAGCATGCAATCATGTGTTGCTTAAAGGATAGAGTCGTGACAGAAGTCTTACTGCAGACAGTGCTTTGTGAGGTCGAAGGTTTGATGAATTAAAAACCTTTAGGTTACGGCTCCTCAGATGTTGCTGATGTTGATCCGACAACACCGAACATGTTGCTGATGGGTAGACGGGACACAGCATTACCCCCGTAGCGTTCAATCAGGGAGAGGAATTTCGCAGTAGGAAGCAATAGAGACATGTGCAGTTGATCGTAGATTTATTTTGGAAGAAGTTCTTGTCAGAATATTTACCTAGCCACCAAATCAGAAGGAAGTGGACTAAGGACACAGAAAACCTGAGAAAGGGTGACCAGGTGTTAGTGATTGATAATCATGCACAACGAGGTGAATGGTCGGTCGGTGAGATAGTTGATGCTCATCCAAGTGAAGATGGGAGAGTGAGAACGGCTGAGGTTAAAGTCAACCAGAAAATATATAGGCGACCAGTGGTGAAGTTGATTAAACTGAGTAAAATGAGTCAGTGAGTTCAGTAGTAAAGTGGCGGGAAGTGAGTGCCCCCTCTAAAGTTTTTGTAGGCCAATGTATAATTGGTTTGGTATATGGTTGTGTTTGTAGGCTTTTGCACTTAGTTAAGGTTAAATGAGATTTCCTCATTGGCAGGGGAATGTACAATCCTCTATGGATTCATTGTAGTTAAGATTTCTTTAAGATTTTCTCCAGTAGAAGGCGTTGCTGTTGATTTCAATTAAAAAAGCGGGGCTTTTCTTACAACAAAGGGCAGCAAGGTTTCTGGTGTCGCGGGAGTAATCGGCATTTTGTTGCGATATGTGGAGAATATAAAGGTAAATATTGTTAGGTGAATATGATTAAGGTGTAGCATTTATAGATGATCGTTAGTGTAATGTTATCTAGCCGTGTAATAGCTTGATTATGTACTTTGTATGTTCAGAGATCCCTCCCCCCTGTTTGAATTTCATCCTGGGGAGAACCCTGGCATGGATATAAAACCTCTGCGACCACACACAGACAGATGTGGATGTTTATGTGGCTCGATGTTATAACGCCGGTGGTCGATTCGGAGATCCATCGGAGCAGCTTTCGTGGGCCCCGCTCATAGGTGCCAAGCGCTTGCCGCTCCATGTCCTCAAAGGTTTTACGTAGACCTGCTGCCTTTATAGTACGAATGAGCCCAGCACTGAAGCGCTGCAGTTCGCGAATGCGAACAGTCGGTCCCGGGAATAGGAGAATCGACTTGATAGGTGCAGCACCTGCATCGTCGGCCGGATTTTCAGCAGCAGCTTTGCACATGTCGTCGACAAAACCCCAGAGAATATGGAAAATGGAGTTCCTATAACCAACGAGTCGTTGCACACGCTTGACGTTGTCCAGTGAGATGCTTGTTGGTATAGCTGTCGCCAGTTGGTCTCGAACACAATGCTGTAATATGTGGAAAATGGCATCAGTCACGGGTTCACCGCTGCTGACCTGCTCGTTGAAGTTGATACGTGCCACCGTGATGATGTTAGTGAGGTGTTCCTCGGCATCCGGGCAGAAAGTGTAGACAATTTCGTCGGCGTCTTCGCGGTCATGATAGCAATTGTACAGTTTTATAGCGATGCACGCTGGCTCGTAATACGCAGTGGCGGTGAACTGGGCTGCAGTTTCTAGTCTCTTGTGGCATTGGC